CTGTTTTCTCTCTCTCTCTCTCTCTCTCTCTCTCTCTTTTTTAAATTTTCTTTATTTTTTTGGTGGTGCTAGGAATTGAACTCAGGGCCTCACACATGCTAAGTCTGCCTTTTACCACTGAGCTACATCCCCAGGCCAGAAGTGCTTCCTTTGTGAAAGGAAGCCGATAAATCATATTTACCATTGAAAAGTTTGTATGTACATCACGTCCTTTGATGGGGTATGCTTAAGAGTCTACATTCCAGAGGACCATGCAATGCACTGGCTTGCATTAGATTTCGGCCAAGCTGGCAGCCTTTTTCTAAAAGTCTTACATTACAGGTAACCTGATGACAGGGAGGGTGGGCCACACATCTCAGCTGCCTGTCTGCAGAGCCAAAGGGAACAAGTTTGCAAGAATGCAACAATATGCTGGGATCAATGGAACTCTCCCTGGAACTGGCTGTTCCCCCTTTCAAAGGACACCTCTCTAATCTCTCCACTTGCTTAAGGCAGATTCTTCAATGCTCTGAACTTGTCAGGAGTCTGGCATCATTAGGAAGCGCAAAGGGAGAAGGCTCTCTATTAATCATGGGCAGAGGCAGAAGGGACCAAATTCATGGACAATTAAGAGTCAGGGTCAGAATTGAAGGCTCCTCTTTGAAACTACAATTGTTTCCTTTAACCATGAAGAGAAAAGGAAACATTTTTAAATCTTCATTAAAGGGTCTACCCTATATCTGACATAGTGCTCCACCCTAGGTCAGAGCATCTACCTCAAAGAACTTGAAGTCCATGACAAGATAAAGATAGAAGAGGAAAAAGTGATCTTTCACCCTAAATGCAGGCTCATTACCTCAGTCTGAGCACAATAAAAGATGAAAAACAAAAAAACCAGCAATAACAAAATACTTACTTGAGGATTTCCACAGTATGTACAAAGAGTACTGTGAGCCACAGGCTGTGCAAAAATAATTCTCAAACTATTAAAGGTGTGTGAGGCTAGTAATCAAGACAGACAGATTGACACAAAGCTTTGCCACTGGAGTCCAAGACAAAGCACTCTGCCACAGGAATGGGGTTCTTCTCCACTGCTCCCAGTTCTCAATTAGGTGCCATGGAAAGACCTTCCAGCTCCTTCCAAAAGCATTTCAAATCAGTAGGCTTCTGTTTAATGGCCTCACAGCGTATTGATATATGGATAGGCTACAGTTTATTGGATTAGTCCTGCCATGGTGTTTAGGTTATTCTACAAGTTTGTCACTGTAAATTAATATGCATACTCTTAAGTGAAGCCTATTGTTATTCTTTATTTAATACAGAATAATACAAAAGATATCCCCATAAATAAAGCAAAATTAAGAGCAAGGAATAGATGCCTGAAGTTAACTGGTCTTTAAATCTGGGAAGGGCCCTTCCTAGTGCTGTCAAGGAGGCTCCGCTTGGGCTGGCTCAGAAGGCAGTGCAGCCGGCTTCAGCTCGGCATTCAGGAGAGCTGGTTATCACCCTATATCACCTGGCCACGTATATGTAGAGTGGATGGTATCACAGCTCCTTGGGGCTGGAGTATGCATGTTAATGGATCAAAAACATTTAAGAAAAAATAAATAGTGGACATTTTACTTCCCATTCTCTCAGATTATCACCTGCGGTGCAACGGAACCCTCAAGGAAACTATAATAAACTCATGAAATAACAGGATTCAAATTCAGACTCAATGAATACCTGTATGCCTGTGACTAGCCAGGCACTGAGAGGCAAACTTACTGGTTGTGAAATTATCATGACAAAGAAAATATTAACATACCCATTTGTAGTTAAGAAAAGTAAGATTTAGAGAGATTGAATTTGGGAAAGTCCATACACTACTAGAAAATTCGAAAGTTGAAGTCTATGTACACTTGTGTTTCTTGCCATCTCCAAACCAACATTTTTTCAACTGTCCTAAGGCTGATGATTTCCAACTAAAATACAAGATAAGCAGTACACATGGTATTAAGTGACAGGCCTCTATGACTAGTGATAAATTGTAGAAAAATAAAATCTGAAATTAAATCTTAAATTGAGTGCTACTTTGTAAGTATATGTGTATATAAAATACAGACTATGGAGTAATGTTATTATTTTACTTTACTTCATTGAAGGAAGTTTAAAATAAATATCATATTTTTATTGAACTGGAACCATAATCACATTTATGATTTTAATTCGGAAAAAGCAAAGGAAAAATGCATATATGCTTTAAATATGTTAGTTATATTTTGATAGCAATTCTGAGAGAAAAACCAGAAAATTCAAAGGGCAAATTCAACAGGACTGGATAACAAGTGATGAAAGGTAGAAGAAAGATTCTTATTGAAGAATTATCAGAAGACTATACAATAAGCATGTGTCACCCAAATAACAGTATGTGAGCAATTCTAAAATGTATCATTTTATTTTAAAAAGTTGCTTTAAAAGCACAGATGGCTAGAAAAATAGATGTGCAATATAGTACCAAAAACATATCCTCCAGCAGTCAGGCTTAAGGATATAAGAGGACAGCACTACACTACACAGGGCCTGTCTGCTCCATTGTGTCCCCACCCTTCCATTAATCAAAAAGAGAGAGAGTCCAGGCAGGATGAAGGAGAAACCTGAACTAAAGAGGTAGGCCTTACATTCATCTTCCTCCTTGGCTGGTGATTAGCCTTGCAAGTTTTACTTCTTGAATTCCTCATTTATAAAACTGGGGATAAGAGACTTAGTCATAAGGCTCAGCTGAGATAAATATATGAGAAAATATTTTCAAAAATTTGAAGACTTTGTATATATGTAAGGATATATAAACTGGCCCAAAGTACTACATGATGCTATGGTATATACAGGTATCCATGACTAAGAAAAGAATATCTTCTTAGGTGCAGCTACTCAGACAAGGGTTCAAGTGTCCTAGATTTAGAAGAAATGCAACTAAACCTAAAATAAGCCTACTTGTAAGCAAGAAAGAAACTTAATTAAAATGTAAACACCATGCAATGTACTAGTATGAAGCGTCTTCTCTAAAATCTACAAAGTAGGCAGTAGACAAACAGAAATCCAAAAGATGCAAATTATTTAGCAAAGGTTGCTCATGAATGGCAGACAAAATACTTGATTATGATCAAATTCCTTCTAAGAACTTTCTGTGCTGATTATTAAGACTATCAGAAAACATAGTATGTTCACTGTTTTCATCCTCATCTGATGCACACGCTGAATGCCAGAAAGAGGAAGTGATTGATTAAGGTCACAAAGAAGATCAAGACTAGAATCCATGTTTTCCAGCTCTCAATCTTTACTCTTTTCTCAACACCCAAGTGCCTATTCCTTTTTTCATGGTATTGACATTACTGCTGTTATTTGGAAGGAAACTATACCAATGCATTACACAAAAATCCTTTCTTTTCTTTCTATTATATTATTTAGGTAGAGATTCCCAATGCTTTTTGTGAGACAATACACTCTCAGAGAAGAGCTTTGGATGAAGATGGCTGGGGAATGTGCTAACTGCAGAAAGACCTTAAGATTCCTTTGTGAGGAGATGGGACTGATCTGATGTACTTATAGCAAGCTTCATCCCCATGGTTCTTACATGACTTTAGAAGGGAAGCAGTTGTTCTTTTAGTGACCTCAATATGCCCATCATCCTCTCAGACAAGTCCATTCATAATACAGTGGAGTCCTGACTCAGTAAAGCAAGCAAGTAGCGGTTATCTTTGAAGAGCTGTGATTATAAATGTCCAACTAGTGATCACCCTCCTAAGCCCACATGTGTCTCCTTTACAAAATGGTCACCCTGGTCTCAGAAACTTACTTAGATCAATCAACCATCTATGTGAGGCCTGTAACTCTTAAGTTACTCACCTGCAGTATCCATCTCCAGGATTATAAATACAAAAGAGACTAAAGATTATCACACAATTGATTAGCAACATGTGGAGCAAAGACAGAGTTTTAAGCTGCTACTTAGACTTCATGGTTGAAACATGAGCTGTGACAGAACCACTTCGCACACCATGAAAGGAACACAGTAAAACAAAATAAGTTTTAGGACAATTTTGTGACAGACACCCTGATGTGAAATAGTGGAAAAGGAAAGGATACAATGGGGAGGACGGACATCAGAAATCCATCCAGCTACACAAAAGCCTCTGTAAATTTCAGGATTTTTATCCAACTTAATCTCCTTGTTCTTCAGCTTTCCTCACTAACACAACAGGAGTTATAAAATGGTCCTACCTACTTCACAAAGATGTGAGATCAAAATGAGGGAACAGATGTGAAATTGTGCTGGAATGTCATCAACATTATGAGTGTAGATAATTTAATAAACTCTGTACCACTGGATTTGAGTCTATAGTGAACAAAATACTATATAAAGGGTAAAAATGAAAAAAAATTTCAAAGAATCATATTTTTCCACAGAGAAAAAGAATTGTGAAAATAATTCTAAAGTTATTTTTCAATAAGATGATATATTTGGAAGATTTGTATAATCCATGTAAATGTTAATTTTTTTTTTTTTATAAACATGCATGCCGTTTTGGTCTGGAGTGTGTTCTTTGATCAGCCTGTTAAAACCAGCTTTGTAAGTTTCTCCTTTATATTTGAGAGTTCGTGTACTGTGGCTGCAAGGACACCCAAAAAGTGCACTGTGCTCAGAAGATGCTTAGGGATACTTCAAAACAAAGAAGTACTATACCACAGGTATGAGTCTACATTATAAACTGTAAAATAGAATAAATCATTTTTAAATTTTGAAAGAATATATATTCTTATAAAAGTTATATGTAGAAAGGTTTTCTTTCTTTTTCTTTCAACATTTTAATTTAGTATTCATTTGAACTAAGGGTGCTGTGTGCAGCTGTAGAGATAGGTTTGTAGCAAATTGGTAACTGGAACAAGAAACATCTCAATTTGGAATTGGGAGAAACCCCAGTGGGTGAGGAAGACCCTAGTACTGGGCAAAGTGAGATGGCAACTTATGCCGGGGATCTTACCGTCCAGGTGGCAGATTTGGCGGTGCTCGACTGTTGGAACGACACATCGAAGCTGTGCGGGCCCGGGTAGTCAGTGTTGGAGGGGATGGCCGGCGATGGTGACAGGGCATCGAAGGTGGAGCTGGGCTGCGCATAGGGCGAGGGCGCTGTCACGCTGTTCTGCGCATGGTCTGTGTTGTAGGGACTGGTGGACGAGGAGCCGTTCTGAATCTGCTGATCCATGCTGTTTAGGAGCCCCAGGTTCGTGTACTGTGGCTGCAAGGACACCCAGAAACCCTGACATCAGCCATCTAAGCCAAGATCAGTACTCCAAAACAGGCGTCATTTGGTGCATACCTTCTACAGAAGTCCCCCCTTCAGACCCCAAAGATTCCACATGAAAAATAAAACAGGCAATCTGTGATACACAGAACCGTCAAGAGGAGTTGGAGGCCTGTGTTTGTAATGATCTTCACAGTTCACAGGGTTCTTAGGGTGCCTTTGGGTATCCTCAAGAGTGTTGCAAGTAGAATACATGCTTATTTACAGACTAGGCAAAAAGTGCACTGTGCTCAGAAGATGCTTAGGGATACTTCAAAACAAAGAAGTACTATACCACAGGTATGAGTCTCCCTAGGGAGGGGGCATATAGTATTCAGAATGAGAAAGACCACTTGATACATTTAAGGGATTTAAGCATTATATTGTTTTATATATATGTAAAACTATATATATCATTTTATATATATGCATGTATTATTATATGATTAATATAATAATATATTGTATTATATCATATAAAATTATTCTATTCAACTTTAATTATTTTACATGAGGAGCAGAAATAAACTCAGCTATTCGATTCAGTCCAGAGAGCATCTGTCTAAATGTTAATAGCCACA